AAACTGCAACGTTTCTACCCAACAGGGTCTTTATCAAGCTTGACAAAAACCCTGTTGGGTCGAAACATCAAAAAGCCCGTTACGATCTCTCGATTTGCATGATCTCTGGAAAAATTATGGGTGCTCTTCTTGGAAGATGAGGCAAGGCACAGCCGCAAAGTGTGAGGGCTGCAGTTCACACTGTTATCCAGCTGAAGAGTGAGTGTGCGGCTCAAAAATGCTGCCACTAAGGGAGTATGCTGGAGGGGAAAAAAAACATATCCTACAAATCCCTGAGCACCAGGACACTCAAGGCCCTAGTAATCTGTAACCTATCTGGGAATTAAGTAGATCCTTCCCCATAAGCCCAATTAACAACAATAGAACACTGTATAACAGTTCACAAACATAAACCTAAGACAAAATGTGTGAAGGTATTGGGTACCGTGTATTGCAACACCAAACCCCCATCGAAAGGAAAATCAGTCTGGTGGCAGAATTCATTACAGACTGTAGCAGGGCAATACGATTTTTGGGAAGACCAATCAGGAGAGGGTTACAATAATCCATGCGGGAAACTACTGGAGCATGGACAAGCTCTTTAGTAGCATCTTGCGTAAGAAAGGGGCGGATGCAGGCTATGTTTTTAAGATGGAACCTACAGGCAACATACTGGATGTGAGGCTCAAAGGTGAAGCCAGAGTCAAATATGACACCAAAATAGCGTGCTTGCAAGGATGGACTGATGTGGGTACCACTGACTTTAAGGGAGAGCAAAAGAGGAGGATCAGTATTAGTAGGGGGAAAGTCAATGAGTTCAGTTTTAGAGAGATTTCGTTTTAGAAAGCGGGAGGATGGAGGTAGAGAAAAGGCAAGCAGTGACACGTTGCAGGATGGCAGGGGAGAGGTCCCGGGAGGAGAGATATATCTGGGTGTCGTCAGTGTACAGGTGGTAGTGGAATCCAAATGATGCAATAACTTTGCCAAGAGAGGCAGTATAAAGATAAATTAGAAGGGGACCAATGACGGAACCTTGCGGGACTCCAACTGAGACAGGATGAAGGGATGAGGTATCATTAGAAAAGGAGACACTGAATGAGGTTTGGGGGAGATAAGAGGAAAATCATGAGAGGAGAAAGTCACAAAGATCGAATGATTGAAGAGTTTGAAGAAGGAGAGCATGATCAATGGTGCCAAAAGCAGAAGAGAGGTCAAGAAGAATTAGTATGGAGTAGTGGCCTTTGGATTTAGCTGCAATTAGGTCATTAGCAACTTTGATAAGAGCAGTCTCAGTAGAGTGGAGGGGCGAAAGCCAGATTGAAGAGGGTCAAGGAGATAGTTGGAATTGAGGAAGTGAGACATACGGGTAAAGACAAGTCTTTCCAGAAGCTTTGAGAAAAAAGGATGCAGGGATATGGGACGATAGTTAGAGGGGGTGGACAGGTTAAATGATGTTTTTTTTCAGGATAGATATTACAGTGGCATGTTTAAGGTCAGCAGAGACAATGCCAGAAGAGAGAGACCAGTTGAAGATGTGTGTTAAGGAAGGCACAAGACAAGAGGAGGGAGATCTGATAAGGTGAGACGAGACAGGATCAAGCGGGCAAGTGAAGGGGCAAGAGGAAAGGAGAAGAGCAGCCACCTCTTGTTCTGTAACTGTAAAAAGTCTGAAGGGTGGGAAAGGCATGATCTATGTGTGGTTGAGAAAGAGAAAGGCAAGGTGGGGAGAATTATTTCCTTAGCTGTTAAATCTTGTTGTAAAGTAGCATGCAAAGCTCTCAGCTGTACGGTTAGTTTGGGGGTTGGCCACAGCAGGGTGGAGAACAGAGTTAAACGTGTCAAAGAGATGCCTGGGATTGTGGGAGCATGAACTAATGAGAGGAAAAGGGCTGCACTGTATGAAAATAATATGAATCTATAATGGAGAAAGTCTGACTGGGTGCAAGACTTCCTCCAGCAGCGTTCAGCACAACGGGATCATCTTTGCAGGTAGCGTGTTGATTTAGTATGCCACAGATGGGGGCATGTCCTCCTCGAGGTGCATGTTTGGAGCGCAGCTGCAGCGTTCAAGGCAGAGGTGAAGGTAATGTTATATGTGGAGATGGCCATTGAGGGATAGGAGAGGGAAAGGATGGATAGGAGTTGTGAATCAATATCAACTGACAGCTGCTGGAGGTCAATAGAATTAACGTTCCTCTTGAGCTTAGGTTGTTGAATGAGGGGGTACTCTAGAGCGAATGAGAAGAAATGATTGTTCTTTGCGGCTATGGAGCAGCAATAAAAAAGGTAGCATAATATGAAGCCTCCTTCATGTGGTAAAATTCAGGGTTTTTCAAGAAATCTGCATGATTTCAGAGACAGTAGTTCGGAGCACAGCAACAAGTATGTAAGACAGATTCTGTGTGAAATCTCAGTGTGTTTGAGTAGAAGGGAGAGATATGAATCAATACAGGTGTGTTTCTGTGATTCTGAAACCTTTTGTTCATGTGGTCAGTAGAAGATGAGAGTTGACCTGCAGACATGTACACACACAGAAATATATTCTTTTATATGAATTATTAAAGGGACACTATAAGCACCAAAGAAACTTTAGTTTATTGAAGTGCTTTTGGTATCTAGATCATTCCCCTGAAGTCTTACTGCTCAATTCTCAGCCATTTAGGAATTAAACCACTTTTTTGCCCGAGCCCCACCTCCATTGCATGTGACCTACACAGTCTATTGACAAACTTCTTGAAAAGATAGATATAATGTTTAAACTTACTTTGTTACACAGTCTGTTTAATTGAGTTTCTTATATCCTGCTCGGAGCCTACCGGAGCCTCCTGTGTGTGATTAGAGTTCAATTAACAGAGCAGGAGATAATAACTTTTTCAACTAAAATTGAAAATTATTATTTTTTTAATGTTGGCTGTGATTCATTCAGGTATGGTTAGCACTGTATATTGGCAGAGAATTAGGCAGTGAGATTGCAGGGGCATGATTCATACACCAAAACTGCTTCATTAAGTTGAAGGTCTTTTTGTGCTTAGAATATAATTGTATAAATGTATGATGAGCTGTACATATACTATATGGTAAAACCTGACAAACTCCGACTCAGGTAAAGTCCTCAATCATTACTCCTTCTTCATGTGCGACGCTACATGAAGGACAGTTGATGGTGGGACCATCATAACACAATTAATACCATATCACGGTGAAGTAACCGAAATATGTGCCAAAATAAGCAGAGATCAATCACTGCTCACTCATGGTCACCATCAATGAGGTAACATCCTCACGTCTTAGCTCTGACTTTAAATAATGCATGACACCATTAAAATATTTGTATATTTTTTAAATAATAGTTGCCAAAAAACAAACAAAAGCCAATGAATGTTGAGTCATGAGTACTTGTTCCACCCATCTTCCCACAGTTCTTATATGAACACTTTATAGCCGTCCTTTGAAGTTATAGTTGCCCACTACCTGTTGAGTACTTTTACTGCATGTACAATAAGTTCTTCCATGTGTAGCAACACTATTGTAGTTGTTTAACCTGTTTTTCTGTATATCTTAATTTTTGTATTAAATTAAAGCGACACTGTAGGCACTATAACCACTTCATCTCACCAAATATAGTGTCCACTGTCCCCTGGAATTCTTCCTTTTCCTCCATTTAGTGTTACACCATTTTTGAGCAATTTAACACTAATTTAGGGTCCCTGGCTGCCCACAGCTCTCGTTTCAATGGAGGTATGGCTAAATCAGAGATTACGCACTTCTTTGTAGCCATAACGATTCATACATGCAGCCAATCACAGCTGGCCATTGTTGTTTGGGTCTTGCTTCCTCATTAGCCCAAGCAGCACAAAGAGGCTGGGTTGCTGCCATTTTAATTCTGAATGGAAAAATGGCACCAGGCAGTTTTAATTTTGTTGACTAACAATTTTAGTCGACTACAATTTTTGATAATTAGTCAACTAAAGCTAACCTAAAACAATTCAGATGACTAAAATACGACTAAAACTAAATTTAAAGGCATCCTATAGTGCCAGGAAAACAAACCCGTTTTCCTGGCACTATAGGGTTAATAGGTCCCCCCCTCCCACTGGGCTGAAGGGGTAAAAACCCCTTCAGCCACTTACCTTAATCCAACACCTCTCTCTGTGCTGGTGACCTCTCCTCCCCTGCCGACGTCAGCTCCCGAGTGGAGCCGAATGCGCATGCGCGGCCAGAGGAGCGCGTGCATTTAAACCCGCCCATGTGGATGTCATTAAAGTATGGAGACTGTGGTTTACAGAAATAAGTTTAGAAACCCCTGTATTGAATTGTTTCCTATACATTTTGCTTTAGGAGCTTGCGTTAAATTCTATTTTTACAATTTTACTTCTTGCAGTTTACAAATCAATAACTCAATTGTGAACGTCAACTTATATTGGAACTAGATGTACCAAAAATATTACTTTCATGCTTTCGAGGTTCAACAGTACATTTTGTAGGAAAAATAGTCACCCAAATGTAAGCAGCATGATAGGTCTTAAAAAATTAGCATGGATAATGTTGCAATCTAACCTTGTGTAAGTACTCCTTCAATTATGCACTCTGAAAACCAATGGACTGAGAAAGATGGTGGTCCTAATAGGTAGAAGCCAAATGATGCCATGGGAAGCACTATGTTTTATTATTCTACTGTTTTTGGTTTTTTTTTAAAACAAAAATTAAGCATCAATTTTGTCCAAATGTCACAAAAAAGCACATGCACTCACACAATGGAAGCTTTCCGTGAAATGCAAGTAAAGAATAGGCCTTGGTCCAACTGTATATTATTGAAGCACATAAGTTAGAAGTGGAATGTGATGAAATTCTGTGCTGGTGGCAGAGTAAAATGTATATAGCATGAGTCCAATAATTTCATGAATTGTTTCTTTAACCATTTGTCTTATAGTCCACCTGCTTCAGATGTCCTAGATATGTCTTCTTCATGTGATAGTGAAGGGTGGGGACATCTATATGTATATTTGATTTAATCTTGACATTTTATTTGTCCTCTACTGGAAGTGAGCAAAGGGAGGCTGTGTTCAATCAGAAGTGTTCAGCACATTCCAATTGGTCTTAATGTGGATAAGTGCAAGATAATGCATCTTGGACGTAAAAAAACCCAAGGGCAGAGTACAGAATATTTGATAGAGTCCTAACCTCAACATATGAGGAAAGGGCTTTAGGGGTGATTATTTCTGATGACTTAAAGGTAGGCAGACAATGTAATAGAGCAGCAGGAAATGCTAGCAGAATGCTTGGTTGTATAGGGCGAGGTATTAGCAGTAGAAAGAGGGAAGTGCTCATGCCATTGTACCGAACACTGGTGAGACCTCACTTGGAGTATTGTACACAGTACTGGAGACCGTATCTTCAGAAGGATATTGATACCTTAGAGAGAGTTCAGAGAAGGGCTACTAAACTGGTTCATGGATTGGAGGATAAAACTTACCAGGAAAGGTTAAAGGATCTTAACATGTATAGCTTGGAGGAAAGACGAGACAGGGGGGATATGATAGAAACATTTAAATATATAAAGGGAATCAACACAGTAAAGGAGGAATCTATATTTAAAAGAAGAAAAACTACCACAACAAGAGGACATAGTCTTAAATTAGAGGGTCAAAGGTTTAAAAATAATATCAGGAAGTATTACTTTACTGAGAGGGTAGTGGATGCATGGAATAGCCTTCCAGCTGAAGTGGTAGAGGTTAACACAGTAAAAGAGTTTAAGCATGCGTGGGATAGGCATAAGGCTATCCTAACTATAAGATAAGGCTAGGGACTAATGAAAGTATTTAGAAAATGGTGCAGACTAGATGGGCCGAATGGTTCTTATCTGCTGTCACATTCGATGTTTCTATGTTTCTATAGTCATTATAGGACAATATATCTAATGACTTTTGTCATTGAGCAAACAATCCAAACTGATTTTAATTATTTCCCCGGAGGCTCAGATTTACAAAGGCTCCAATTTCTGTAGTATGTATGGTCCTCACACATTTGGGAACCAGTAATCTTTGGGAATATAAGCTAGCTACAAAAAAGCAAAACTAGATGGAAGTGGGATCATAAGGCATGTATGGAAGTGCCCATAAAGTTCCACTCTTTTTGTGTTTTACAAACATAGATTACCAGCACCTCTAGCCATTTTAAGCACAATTTAATATATACCATATATATGCCGACGTCAGCTCCCGCGTGGAGTCGAATTCGCATGCACGGCCAGAGGAGCGCGCGCATTTAAACCCGCCCATAGCAAAGCATTACTCAATGCTTTCCTATGGGGATCTTATTTGACGCTGGACTCAGTGATGACGTCCAGCGTCATTTCAGTGCGATTTACTCACTGAGAATCGTGGAAGCCGCCTCTAGTGACTGTCAGGGAGACAGCCACTAGAGGCTGGATTAACCCTGCAATGCAAACATAGTAGTTTCTCTGAAACTGCTATGTTTTAAGCTGCAGGGTTAAAACTAGGGGGACCTGGCACGCAGACCACATCATTGAGTCAAAATTAACATTGCACCAGGGGACTTCAGATACTATAACCACTTTATTGAAATTAAGCAGTTACAAAACCTACAGTTTCCTTTAAAATATTGGATAAATATCATGTGTATATCATTTTGTGTGCAATTAGAAATAAAAACAGAGACCACATTTTGCAATATTCACAATACTTCACAGACAATGTGACTTTATTCACACTTTCTTTACAGAGGTAGAACAAAATACTTTGTATATTTGTTTAATATATATATACACACACATGAAGATTCTAAAATTATCTGGAAATTAAAGAGGACACAAAGAAATCTCAACAGATTGTGATTGTGATGTGTAACAATACAGTGATCATGCCCACACACTTACAGAGTATGTTTTTTTTATTTTGCTGGTGTAACACTAGGTATTAAGATTTTAAATCTGATATGTTTAAAAGAAGACTAGAGAGTAAAGACTTAGTTCATAAGACATTTTTCCTAACATACTACAATATCTAAAACATAAGTATTTTCTTCTCAGTTGAAACATTCTGGGTCATTCTAGGTGTGAATTGCTGTGAAAATCCAGTGAATTAAATTTTTAGGCCAACTTCACTGAAATTAAAACAACGGACTTGAAGATTTTTTACAATTAATTTATTTTGGTCTAAAATTTCAACATCTTGAACTCCCAACAACCTAGACTTTAACCCGGTTTGTATTTTTCAACTGCCATGACGATCAGGAAAACAGTAACTATTTAAACCTATAAAAAAATTAAAAAAATCGGAGTAATTTCCATTTACAAGAAGTTTGCCACAACCGCAAATGTTCAGACAAAACAAAACTGCAGAAAATACAAAAGTTTAAAAAAAAATGATATTAATAATGACACATTGGAAAATAGTACCCGTGTGGTGAGTTCAAGAACATTCCCACCATTTCCACGCATTGACTGGGAAAAGGATATAGGGGTACTGCACTTGGTGGAAAAATGTGCAATAGACATTTTATTTCTTGCAGTTTTCAACATAACCACTAGGGGCAAATACAATTAAATGCAGCATTATATGATGGTTGCGATAATTACTAAAGAATTATGTGACCCATGTAAATAAACAGAAGTAAGACAAAAAGAACATTTGCAAAGTAAAACTTTGAAACATTTTATACATTCCATTAGTTTTGAGTCACATTTAAACTTTTTGCTGTCGCCTGTTTTATCCAACACTAACAGGATTATTTACTAAAGTGAGAATTATTGGGAATTCAAAGTGAAATTAATATGAATTTCAAATTTAAAGCCAAAGTTGCTGAACTGGAAAAAATCTTCAAATCAGTTATGCTTTAACTTGGCTTTAGAGTGGCTCTACCACTGTCTTTGCATATTTTGCAAAGACCCCCCTCCCCACAATGATGACTGCTCTGCTTGGTGTCTGGTGTTTTTTTGGGTGCAGAGAAAAGTAAGTTTTACTTACGTGAATCAGTCCATGGTAGCGGCTGTCTTGGTCTCCACCGGCTCCAAGAGCTTCATCTGCCAGGAGACCACATTAGTGTTCTACTCTGGTCCAAGTACAGCACTGATGTCTATGGAGGATCCCACAAGACTGCCGGAAACCTCAATAGACAATGCCTTTTTACTTAGACTAGTGACAGCTGGGGGAAATAACAAAACGGGACATCGGCAGCTCCGCCTTTTGTCAAGCGTAGGGAATATACTAAAACAAAGTAATCCCTAACTTGTCTCAGTAGATCTTTGACTACATTGAAATTTCAACACCGTCCATGTGAATATTTCACAAATGCTTTATCTTTATGAAAGAGCCATTTTAAATGTGAAATTCACCTTGAATTAATTTTGAATTCCAGACAATACTCCCTTCAGTAAATTACCATGAAAAAAAACCACACACACACAGACACTCACTCTCTCTGACAAACTGGAATAATCACGGACTGAAACATTTTCAATTTCAGCTGTTTTTGCCTTTCAATTTGAAAGTCACGTTGAATTCTTACTTTAGTGAATAACTGCGACACTGTCTAAGTTAATACATTCAGCATCTGATAGAAATATGATTCTCATGTTATTGACCTGGGAAGGATAAATGGTTGTTAGCCCTGTGGCTATTGAGCCAGTGAAGCACCAAAGTGGCTAGGTAGTGTTTATAATGACAGATGAAACAGAACTTCCTGGATTTCCTAATTATTCTTGGGGGGAAATATTAACCTTTAGTTTTTTAAGGGATGTCCCATGCTTATCACATTATAATGCATTGACTTGTTGCAACAAGTAATATGGACGAAATATAAAATATATATAAAATTCGCAGTGTTATCAGAAAAAAGGGCTATCAGGGCTGAAGCCCAACACACCATGGACTGTAGTGTAGCCTTATACGGAATTAATTAGCATTCATTGAAATACATTTTGCTCATGAATGTACATTTCCATTCATGGTGGCAGTGTAGTGATGTCCCGAACTGTTCGCCGAACGGTTCGCAAACGGTTCGCCACAGTTCGCCACGAACTCCAGTCAGCAGACACATTCCAGCCAATCAGCAGCAGACCCTCCCTCCCAGACCCATCCACCTCATGGACAGCATCCATTTTGAAGCTGCATTCTCAGTGAGCTGTCCAGGAGGTGGGAGGATCTGGGAGGGAGGGTCTGCTGCTGATTGGCTGGAGTGTGTCTGCTGACTGGAGTTCATGGCGAACCGTTCGCGGTGAACCGTGGCGAACCATTCGGCGAACAGTTCGGGACATCACTATGGCAGTGTTATTCAATTATATTTCAATTAATAATATTGCCAGTGTATATGTAAAGTGCATCTCATTAAGCAGGATTTCACGTAGGGCATTGAAGGTTATGGATATTTGCCTCAGAGAACAACAAAAAGTGGAGCTAGATGGAAAATTTAGTTTTTATTTTTAAGCAACTGGAAACACACATACTTGCTCAGTTAAGTTATAGTAGAAATGTCATGTCAATACTTGGGTTAAAAGCAAGTCCCATCCCTGAAATTTAAGGGAGTGCAATCGGGTCCTTAAAATTCAGGGAGTGCAATCCCTCACACTGTAACAGTTTGTGGATATAATTAAAGTGTGGAGACTGTGGTTTACAGAAATGAGTTTAGAAACCCCTGTAGTGAATTTTTTCCTTTACATTTTGCTTTAGGAGCTTGCGTTAAATTCTATTTTTACAATTTTACTTCTTGCAGTTTACAAACCAACAACTAAATTGTGAACGTCAACTTATATTGGAACTAGATGTAACAAAAACATTACTTTCATGCTTTCGAGGTTCAACAGTACCTGTCTTAGGAAGAATAAAGTCACCCAAACGTAAGCATGATGTCTTAAAAAAATCACCATGGGTAATGTTGCAATCTAACCTTGTATAAGTACCCGTTCAATCATGCACTCTGAAAACCAATGGACTGAGAAAGATGGTGGTCTTAATGGATAGAAGGCCAAATGATGTCATGAGAAGTACTATGTTTTTTTTATTCTACTGTTTTTGTTTGTTTTTTTAAACAAAAATGAAGCATCAATTTTGTTCAAATTTCTTTTCAAACAAAAGCACATGCACTCACACAATGGAAGCTTTCCGTGAAATGCAAGTAAAGAATAGGCCTTGGTCCAACAGTATATTATTGAAGTATAGTGATGTCCCGAACGGTTCGCCGAACGGTTCGCCGAACGGTTCGCGAACGTTTCACCACGAACGGTTCACCACGGACTCATCATTGAGTAAACTTTGACCCTGTACCTCACAGTCAGCAGACACATTCCAGCCAATCAGCAGCAGACCCTCCCTCCCAGACCTTCCCACCTCCTGGACAGCTCACTAAGAATGCAGCTTCAAAATGGATGCTGTCCAGGAGGTGGGAGGGTCTGGGAGGGAGGGTCTGCTGCTGATTGGCTGGAATGTGTCTGCTGACTGTGAGGTACAGGGTCAAAGTTTACTCAATGATGAGTCCGTGGCGAACCATCAGTGGCGAACCGTTCGGGACATCACTATTGAAGTACATAAGTTAGAAGTGGAACGTGATGAAATTCTGTGCTGGTGGCAGAGTAAAATGTATATAGCATGAGTCCAATAATATCATGAATTGTTTCTTTAACCATTTGTCTTATAGTCCACCTGCTTCAGATGTCCTAGATATGTCTTCTTCATGTGACCTCTACTGGAAGTGAGCAAACAGAGGCTGTGCTCAATCAGAATTGTTGAGCACATTCCAAATGGTCATTATAGGACAATATATCTAATGACTTTTGTCACTGAGCAAACAATCCAAACTGATTTTATTTATTTCCCCGGAGGCTCAGATTTACAAAGGCTCCAATTTCTGTAGTATGTGTGATCCTCACACATTTGGGAACCAGTAATCTTTGGGAATATAAGATAGCTATCATCTTAAATGAGAGGATTTACGTTACAAAAAAGCAATACTAGATGGAAGTTGGATCATAAGGCATGCATGTGCCCATAAAATTCCACTTTTTTTGTGTTTTACAAACATAGATTACCAGCACCTCTAGCCATTTTAAGCACAGTTTAATATATACCATGCTCCAAAACCTACATGCAGCATTTCTAATGTAGCTGTACACCTTCTGTGGTTCATTGTAAATTTATTTTGCTGATAATTTTGGAGTTCCGCAATCAGGGTGTTGTTAGAACACACAATATTAATAATATTAATCAAGACAAAAGGATTCTATCCGGGGCAAAGTGAATGAGAGCAAGAACAAATGATGGAGCTCCAGATAGTTTTTTTCGAAAGATTTGGAAAAGGACCGTTCAGTTATCCTCTTGATGGTTTGTGGTGCATACATTAGATGTCTTCTGCAAATGTTTCAGTGTTGATGCTTTATTAAAAAAATGTCATGACATATGGCCGAGTTTAATCGAAATATCATATCTCATTATCTGTGCTGTAAGAAGGAGACAAAAGTTTCTTTTTGCTCACACACAACTCTCATACATCCCACGGTTTAGTAAATTAGCTCAAGACTATGCTGCTAGAAATACCAAAAACCTTAAAAAGGAAGGGAGCTATCAGGATGAAAACACGGCATGAGCGGTTTCGAAGAAATTGTTCAATGGTAAAAACTTTTGACCACTTTAGAAGGATAAAAATAAATAAATAAATAAAATTAAAAATGATATATATATAAATAAAAGTACATGAAAATATACAGCACATGTTGAACCTAGAGCAAAAACAAAAAATATTTCCATATTAAACTGGCTTTTAGAATGCTGCTTACTTCCTCTCCAGCGATGGCGAACTATTTTTACCAGTGCAGAACTGGGTGGTTTGATATGTTCCCTCTTCGTAAGGGGCATCAGATTTTCTTGATAAAAGCTTGATCACCCCAACACACTTTTGTTGTGTTCCTTCAGCCTTGTCAAAGTCATAAATAATGAACAATCGTCATGGAAACAAACAGAATGTATCTAGATATTTAGCGTCCGAGAATAATACATCTTTTGCCTTGACAAATCCGGAATGTAATGTGTGTTTGACTGGTCTTATTCCTTAACTATGAGAGGTCAGATGAAAGGTGCAATTAGAGATCCTGTCTATAATTACATTATGTTTTCAGAGTTGTCTGTTTGAATATTTACATGTATATTTGTGTAAAGACAGATAAGACTGACTCTTATTTATACAAGATGATATAGGTTTATAGGAAAAACTGAAACACAAAGAAAAATAGATTTTTATGCAATATTACAACACAGAATCTTGTTTTAATCTACTCGCTGTTAAAATGAGAGGATCACTAATGTCACTTTAAAAAATTTTACTTCAAGACTCAATTAAAACTGCAGTGCTCATGTTTATTTGTATTCCCACGATATCAACACGATTCGAGAAAAAAAAAATCAATTAACATAACATTTTGGTTCATCTGTTAAAAAGGAGGTATGGTTCAATGCGGAAATCAAATCGTAACATCTTAAATCTGTTTGGTCCAATGCTGGCAGTGTTGTATAGTGAATAAGGGAGTGTATTTCTGATAAATAGTTACAATTCATGGAGGAGGGGGCATGTACTAATTCATCGCAAAAAAAATAGAAATAGTTAATAAACGTACAAAAAGAGCCACAAAATAGAGCTCCTTTTACTTGGGGTAGATCTTTTCCATAAATACAGGATACATATCTATAGCTATCTCTTTTTGTCACAAACTACATAATCAGCGAGAACTTTAATCACTAGAAGTACAATTCTATTTTCAATATTTGGAATTTTCCTGTTAAAAAAGTAAAATGTAAAAAAAAAAAAAAAGAAGGGATTATTATACACATTTTTTGTGTGTGCATGTAATTTTTGTACTTATTTCCTTTTGTTGTGTTATGTACATGCCTTCCTTAGCGTTTTATAATTGTGCTTTCTGAGATAAATTTCCAGAGATCAATTTAAGTGATTAAAAGGGACTCACATTGCCTGATGGCAGTACAATAGCCACTAGCAGGAAATAGGAGAGTTTGCCTTTTATTTAAACACTATGCACTAATCACAGATTCACCAAATGGAGTTTGAGAATGTCCATGCATCGTACTCCACACTGTTGAGATTACCCTGCCTACATTCATTGTAAGAGGTGACAGAATGCCAATTGTAAATTAAAATAAAAATAAAATAAAAAAATGTAAATAAAGAGGCTTTAATGAAAAAAAGTGTTCCCCCCCCCCCACCCCCCGCAGTTTTGGTGTCAGATTCCCCTAATTTGCAGTATATGTCACAGAAACACTAGCAGACCACGTACATCATGTCCTTCAAACAGCATCACTCGTTCACGAGTTATTGAGGAGAACTGGAGGAGTGGTGCTTTGAAAGCTCCCAACATGTTCTCTATTAGAGCTAGTTTCAATATTAAAACAAAGGGGGATGTAGACTCCATGCTTAGAACATCGAAAACTCACTTGAAAAGGTAGAGGAAAGGACTAGGTGGCACTTTAAACAATATATTTGTTCTTTGGACATATTGAAGATGAATTACAATGTAATTATATTGATGTTCCCTTTACATTGAAACGAAACTGTGCAACCAATAAACTTCAGGTTGCAATTACAATGCTAAGATTGATTTCTGCCTCAAATCACCCCTTAGTGTTCTGTGTGACGTTAAAAACTTGTTTCTCAGTGAAAGCTCAGACACTAAATCAACGGTCACTAATGATCAACGATCAAATGGTTTCTGTTCAAGGGAGGGTTGGGAAAAAGAGTATAAAATTCTTAAATTGACATAAAATGAATCACACACACCTTTTCCAAATGATTAATCAAAATTAAAAATAATAGAGAACATCATTTTATAAACTGGCAGCCAAATAAAAGTTGAGTGTACGTTTCACCACATCACTGCACTGCATTGCAGTGAGTGGCGCATGTTTCCAGAAGATCAGAATCTCCACTCGCCTATGTGGTTATAATACATGGTCACACCAGGTTACAAATTCCAACAACATTTACAGATACTGATAGGAAGAGGGAATGAGAGAGTTATCCGGTGGGAGTCTTGCTGGAGTGAGGCTTCTATTGTGGAAGCGCCTTTAATATTGCATTCACCTCCTCTGCTACCGCTGTCAAGGCAAATTCAAACTGCTCCTAAGGAGAAAAAAATAATCAAATATAAATATATAAAAAAATATATAAAGACATAATCATTTCAGATTCTGCAAAGACCCTTCTCAGGTCACAAAGTGAAAGTAAATCATATCATGACTGTGCAGTTTAGAAAATGATGTATATAATGGAGCCAAGGCAAAGGGTTGGCCACAGTTTTTGATTTTTTCCAATTAAAATCTAATCAAACAATTAACAAAGTAAACAATGGAAAAGTGATGTAATACTTAATGCAGAAAGTCTTTTATATTCGCTCAGAGCCCTTAGAATGAGATCAAACTTGATGATCGCCACCATTCCAATGTTTCCAGGTATAATAGCATCGGGAGGCCAGTGCACATGCACAGCATAATGAAGAGCTGTGCCAATCAAATGGTCTCTATGAGACCATCTGATTGATTAACCAACTTTGACTGTTATAAAAGCAAGGCTCCACTCGTAGCTGTCAGGACATTGCAGTTTCAAGACAACCAGAAATGTATTATGTTGCAGAGTTAAAATTACAAGACCTCTGCACACAGACCACCTTATTGAGATGAAGAGGTGTGGGTGACTTAAGTTGTTATTTAACTGGAGTATGAATTAACAGAAAATCAAAATGAATTTTAAATTCAATGCTAAATTGAAAAAAAACTGAAAACACAGCTGAGAATTTTTTCCAACTGGGCCTTCGTAGATTAAGATTTTAAATTTATTTTGAATTTCTGACAGTTTAAACCAGGCCCTCCAGATGTTGCTGAACTACAACTCCCATGATTCTCAGCCTATCTATTTCATTCATGGAATCATGGGAGTCGTAGTTCAGCAACATCTGGAGGGCCCGAAGATTTGAGGAAGCCTGGTTTAAACTAAACAGAGTGCATCACTAAAGTGTGTAATGTTAGGGAACCCAAAAGTGAATTCCAATTGAATTCAAGTAAAGTCAGTTACATTAAAAAAAAACTATGCAAGTTCATAAAATTTTCAATATGGCTATGTGAAATTTCTTTGAACTCATTTAAGTAAATGACCCTTACATGAATACGTCTGTCTGTGTTTTGGAACATGTTAAATGCACAAAGTGTTAATTTCGGATTACTTATGACATTTGACTTTTAGATGAACTAGCCAGTCTACATATAAATGTTTTTAATGTGGGCCACCAATATGAACAGGTTAGCTGTGAGATATCTTGGTGGATATAGCTCCAGCTGCAGTGTCTCAGCTGAATCCAGCTCTTCATCCTTCCGAGTTTGAAAAACTGAGTAGCATAACATTGGGTAATAACATATAGACCCTAGGACATACTTAGAAACTAGTGAAACGATAAATGTTAAATATTTTGGTATTTTTTTTTTCTTTTTAAGACATAATTAAACAAAATATCTGCCTCATCACTATTCAAAGTATGAGTAATCCTTACAATAAATACTTTACATTTCATTACACACAGAATTGTGGTTGGTGCTTATACAAAAAAATATAATTACGCATCGAGGCAAACCTAATGCAATGATAATGTGTTGCCATGGTTACTATAGCCATGAAACTGTACCAGGTGCACGTTTAATAATTCTTATACTTGACTTTCAATTCCAATTAAGAGTTCTAACCAAGTCAGCTACTAATTAAAATAATTTTTAGCACAGGTGGATCAGGAAATATTTTATAGACACTAATGTTCCCTAGTGGGCTCTCTGTAGGTCAGAATCATGAGGCGTAGTTTAAATATAATAACTATTAAAAATCTTTTAAAGCTTCTTACATTTTTTTTTACATATTTGCATGCTTTAATTCCTACTTTTATCTGTTATGTATGTTTTGCAAAATGTGACGGACAGTTTACACTAGAACAGAGTTAGCTACATACATCTCTATGTTCACTAAAGAATGAGATCAGAACTGGATTAGCCATTAAGTATCATAAACACCCCATTGGGAGCCTGCCTGGAGCTTTGGCTCAGCCTATGAGGAAGTCCTGTCTAAGCAAGCAGGGAAAGCAGGAGATCTCCCTGTGACCCCAACCTTTTTGATGGAGCAATGTGATCTGCACCTCTATCAAGTGCAGATTACGCTAAAAGCTCCCTTGCGGTCTCCCAATGCTTCTCATTGACACAGAGTGTCACAGCCAGTGCTCTGAGTTATTGTGAGAGGTGCAAACCAAAACGCACCCACAACGGACCTCCAGGTATAACACTCCTTTTAATGCATTCCCCTGTACCACCAGTGCCAAAACATGAGCATGAATGGAAATATGGGGGAAAAAATGTGGAAAGAAGTGTGGGAACGCTTTCCCACAACACACTCAAACTGCCCTTCACACATAAAAGTCAGCCACTACATACATAAACACTCAACCAGCACACAGGTACACTTAGCCTCTATACATACCATTCTCAGACTCCTCAACACACACAATACTAAACCACCACACAGCCTAGGTTATAGCAAGCAACATTCTTAACAGCTGTTAAAGGGGACACTGTATTAACCAAAACAACTGCAATTTAACGTGTATCAAAGATCTGGGATACCTGCACTCAAGATTCTGTGGACTGTGACTCACATTTGTCATCATGTTAGGCAGTGCATAGTAAATCTTAGTTTCCATGGTGATATAAACAATTTTTTTACATGCTGGGAAAGGGGAACGATTAAGCCTTACAGTGATGAACCCACCACAAAACCAATAATATTGTCTTTGAAAATAATTTTAAAAATGTCATGCAAATTGGTTTCTATTTGTTGCAGTTACATACAATATACTAACTAGAGGTATACAAATATACATATATATACATGCATACATGCATATACACACATATATACATACACACAAATACACATACATACTGATACTAAGCATAGCTTGTTTAGCTGTTTGGCTGTGTATTAAGATATTTGTCCAACTGGCAGATGCATTATAATTGTCTTTAACACACTTTTGGATTCTAATTGTTAAGCACCCTCCTCCCCATATTTTTTAATTAAACCTTCTCTCTATGATGTCCATCAGCAATGTACAACTGAGCTGCGGTAATTGGATTAAGCAACATTTCCATAAAATCTTCCAAAGGACATTTAAGAGCTTGGTTTATGCTGACGATGAACGGAAAGACATTGGTGAAGTCATTTAGGTGGCTATTTGCCTGGGGACTCAATCTAGCCGGCATTTGTAACCAGATTTTTAATCCTAACATTTAAATTAATGGAAAGGCATACAATTTCTTATTTGTAATCTGCTATTAAATTGCACTTTTTAAAAGCCATCAAGTCGATTTCTCTCGAGAGCAGACAGCACAAGCAAGGAATTAGATACTTTCAATTTAGAATGAATTTATAAATATTTGGGCTTGCATTAAAGCAACACTCCAACTCTTGATCCTTCCAAGTTTGAAAGACTGACTAGCATAACATTGGGTAATAACATATAGACCCTAGGACATACTTAGAAACTAGTGAATACACTTCAATAAATTTTAAAAAATGTAAATACTGGAGTGTTGCAACGTCTTTTTAGATTTACTAGAGTGTTGCATAGCCTGTCCCTTTAAAATAAATATGTTACATATCTCTAATCCAGTGACTAAGGTCCGACCCTGGTGGGATTCTCGCTACAGAATATCTCTTGAACTAATCCACTGCTTCTCTATAGGAGGGGTCCTACGGTGCATGAGAAATCACCACGCTGCGCCCATAAAATGCTTCTCATAGATAGCACAACGTGAGTAAGGAAGAGTGCCCTCCTGGCTGGTTGACTGACAGCCAGGAAGGTGCAACTTAGGACATTTATAAACGTTTCTCTTGAAACTTATAAGGTAAGAGAAAGGGGACAGCTACAGGGCAAGCTAAAGTGCCCTATGTGTTTTGAAGTGTTCCTTTAATGGGACATAAACTTGAGTAAGTGTATATAGGAATGAATAAAAATAAAGATCTAAACTATGTATTGTTGGTTGTAGTATTCGATGGGTCGAATACATACACTATATGGACAAAAGTATCGGGACCCACCTCTTAAAAATGTAATTTATGTGTTTCAAT